CCTTATTCTTTTATTATTATTATTATTATTATTATTTTAAGCACTGCCTGGTTGAATGGCAAGCTTTTTTTAAATAGCAAAACCATGCATTTAGATACAATTTAGAAAAAAGGCAGCATTGGAAATTAACGACCGGTATGAAATATTTCCAGTTCTCAACGAAATATTCAAACCCAAAATATTTCTGCTGAAACCACTTGGAGAAGGCGGCTGTCTGCGATCACAGAAGTTGCAGGGCAAAGATGTATCATGGGCAATGCCGTCATGCACCAACAGTGAGAATGGGGAAAGCAAACATGCTTTTACACAAAAACCCTTTTATCTTCAACCTTTCTTCACCCCAAAAGTAGTTTTGATGGGAAAACAGTGCCATGCTTTATTTATAAATTATCTTGCTAATTCAAGATCCAGCAAATCAGCCCAAAATATTATTTAGTTACAACACTTAACAGTGTTTTTCGTATGAAGTTTCTGGTTAGCGTGACAGCTGCCCACACGAAAGAAGAGATCTTTGTAAGAGCTGTCTATTGATCCCCACCCCTCACTTTCCATGGGTTTCATTGCACATTAAGGGCACTCATGACAAAATCCAGTCTGGAATCACTTTGCCTTTCCAGACTGCTTCTTTTTTTATCACTAAGATGAGGAAAATACAGATAATCTTTATTAGCACTATTTTACAGCACCACAACTGGAGAATACGAAAAGCCAAATTACACCAGAATCATTGGCATTTCCCATTTCTGTTATTACCACTAACTCCCCACAAATTACATCTATGAGCTATTAAAAGGTACTTACACTCTCATAATAAAATGTTCCAAAGATCTTTCCCTTACTGTACAAGCAGCCAGCTGGGCACAAATACCTAGTAAAGATATATATCTTTGAGGGTGGCAAAAAAACAATTCAAGAAAAACAGACTTTGACTCTATTTCATTTAATAGTCATTCCATTCATTTCACGTAACTCTTCCATTTAAAAACAAGATTGCAAAATAGCTACTTTTTAAAACAGTTTCTCCACCCTCCTTAAAAGCCTGACCAATATTTAGATTCTGTGGATTTGGTTTTTCTCCAAGTGATAAACTGTCCCGTTCTTTGCAGAAACCTTAACCAGAAGTTCTTGACTGGCTGGGAGGGGACAAGCTATGAATTATTGGTCTGGCTTGGACAGCAGTGGAATGCATGAAAAAGGCTCAAAAATTACTCTGCCAGAATTTATTAGACGATTTTGGACACCTGGAACTGTGGGTCATCATGGCTGAATAAAATAAACTGAGTCACCTTATTGCTAGGCTTGGCTGAGGGCTTTGTATTACAAGAAATTAAAGCTTTTTTCTAAAAAGAGATCTACTTAGACAGTCACAAAAAAGACATAGTATAGCCTATCCCACGTTTGCAAGAACCAGACAAGTTTTAGGCCACTTTTTCCCGCAGCGCTCCAAGAGGTATCAATAAAAGGCTACCTGTTGCACGTTGAGCCTCTGCATTTGTCTCTCATTTTGGTTTCACAGGTAATGACTTGTGCTGGGGAGAAAAAACAAAACAAATAAATATTTTAAAAAGGAAAGAGACTGCCACAGCCTGCTTCCGAGCTACAGAGATGAGCAACCACCATGCATCTTTCCTGGAGGTCTTTGGTGCAGCAAGATAAAATCTTATCAGAGACCAAGCAGCCTGGAGCAGTTCGTGCCTCTTTAGCCGTTCACCTGAGACAGGTGCCTTTGGAAAGATTAGCAAGGAAGAAACATCTGACAGATGAAGGCTTTGATTTACAACCCGAGGTCTGCAGCCAAAGTTCTCATTCTCCATTTAATTACAGACTCTCAAGATGCTGGTAGATAAACTTGAAAAGGATGCGTCGGCTTGTCTCACCCTGTTTTCACAATAAGTCTCTTTTAATTAACAGCTATTAGAAAACAACTGAGGAAGTACTACCAGCTCCACAAATAACTTCAGAAATCTTCCCAAGCAAGAAATAAAAAGGAAATAAATTAAAAAAAAATAAAACCAAAAGCTGCAAAGGGGGTAACTGCTGAGCGTAGAGTATTTTAACTGGGAAATAAAACCAATATTTCCTAACGTGATTACTGATCTGGGGACCTTTGGTTCATCAATACTTTCTTGAGATGTCTTAAAAGAACAAATAACTATTGCAGACTGATGTGCAGAAGGCATGAGTGGCTTTTGAAAGCTTTGCTCCCCACTTCTGGCAGGCTTCTGCTATAATTAACAGCAAATTTTCGCACAGATTACCTCCCCCTCCACTCAAACCTCCTCCCAGTTATTTTTTCCCTGAGCCTCCTCATCGCTTTCCACACCTTTTCCCATAGAGGTGCTTCAAAACTTATAAAAGCTGAAAAAGAAAGAGGCTGCCTTACTCATGTAGGAGTCCAGGATGACTTTATTGGGCTTGATGGGATTGCTGGGCTTGCTTTCAGGAGGGTAGAACCGCACTGGCGTTTGCTCCGCAACCTGCAAAATCTCCACTTCGTTATTTTCATCTGTCTCGGCGATGACGGGATCTTCGTAACGGTAATCTTGTTAGAAGAGGGGATTAAAAACAATTACAGCGTGTTCGCATTGATGGGGAACGCGGGTTTACCCCTCGCTTTACCCTTCGATGGAGAACAAGCTGCCTGCTGTTGCAGCCAGGCAACGTGATTGGGAAAATGGTGCCAGCCAAATTCATCCTGCTTGGCCAGTCCTACCCAAACCCCTGCACCGCTCTCGTCCTCGGCCATGAGGAGAGGCACGATGCGAACTAAGGGATGATGGATGGTGGCTCTGAGAGGGCTTTCTACCACCGGGGCATCCCCTCCCCTTCTCCCCGCTGCAGCCCACCTGCAGCCCGGGGACCTCTGCCTGGACCCACAACCCCAGGCTAAAAATGATAAATGCAACGTTGCAGCAAAATAAGTCCCTGCTTTGGGCAAGGCTCCAGGGAACCTGCCTGTTTCTAAGAGCCCAGTTCTCTGTGAAGCAAAACACATGGGAGAAGAAAAATGCCCTCAATGCATGATCCCAGAAAACCCTGTGTGCAGGGGGGGACAGCACTGCTTCACTGGAGATTCCAGTGTGAAGAATACTTTTTAGATTTTTTTTTTCAGGAAAAACCGTCCACAATCCCCTCTTCTCCTCCAAGAGACACGAATTGCTATATTCATTTTGCAGCCGTGAAAACCAAGGTGGGGAAAGAGGGAAACGCTCCATCCCCAGCCCCTGAAGGAGCGGGGCAGACAGCCAGGCTCTGCCCACCCACGTTGCCTCCGGTAAGCGCCGGAGAACATTCCCTTCCCAAACAAACCCAGCGAGGACGGGATCGCTCCTGCCCGCAGCCTGCCAGCACTCAAAATCCCGCTGGAGCTCCCGAGCCAAACCCATGTAAGCTCAGAGCAGCTTCCCCCCACCCGAGCGCTCGCTCTCATTTTCACTGGGGGAGAACGCGCCGAATCCGAGATCCAGATTTTAAGCAGATCGGGGCTTTTCAGTTTCAGCAGCAGCCACTGATTTACCACGTGCTGTGATGTCAAAATATTAAGGATGGCTAATTAAAAGGTGCATAAAGCTGCGGCTGCTTCTGGTTAAAAGTTTCCAGGCATAAGGTTGCTCCAGCCTTTTCCCCAACCCAGGAGGGTGCCCCAAGCCCCACCACGTACCTTTGTAGCAGAGGTTGTTCTGGCAGCCTCCTCCGTAGCTCGGCGGGCACTGGGAGCAGGGGCGGCCGGTCTTGTACGGGGCTTCTCCGATCCAGTTGCCCCTGCAAACACAGGAGCAATGCGTACCCGTCAGACACCCAAAGACCCATCCAAGAGAGATGCCCAAATGCCCATCCGAGACTGCCTGGCACTAAGGCAGTGGGGAAAATGGGCGTTTCTGCTGTGCTCATCCTTGGATAGGGGGCTGTAAATGAGGAAAAGATGTCCCCCCCTCTTTCTGTCCCCATGCTGCCTGTTGGCCTCCAGCGATAGCTCCGCGGGCTCAGGGGCCGCCTGCTTGCTGCCTCCCATTTGCCCAACGCTTGCCTTCATCTCTCTTGGTCATCAGAGCCACAAGTCTCCCACCATTTTCTGCAACACGCCCAGGCAGCGGCACGGGCCAGGCTGGAGCACAGCTCTTACCATTTAAAAGCTGCTCCATTTTCCACCTGGAGCCATTTCCAAACAGAACAACACCAGAAATACAGGGACCCTCACACCAGATCATCTGGGAAACAGAGCAGCGCTTTGTACTTTTTCCTCACCCAACCTGGTGTCCTCAAGTCCCCAGTTTTGCCTCTAAGGCTGCAGAAACATCGTCTTGGCCCAGGGCAACTCAGCAAAGACTACACAACCAGCCCAGGAAAGCTGGTTGAAAGAAAAATTGTTCCTCCTCATTTCACCTCCAAGATGACATTTTTAGGGGTTTACTTAGATAAATTGCATGCAATATCGCTTTTACATTAAACTCCTATAGAAATACTGCGACCTTAGGCAAACAGAAGTAAATCAGTGGATTACTGCATTTTCCTCAAGAAACTACCCAGAAACAAAAGCCCTTTTTGGCACTCTGTACTGCAGACTTCAGGGGCTGAGAAGGTTGAAGGAGCCGGAGTTCAGCCCATGGCTACGAACCCTTTGGTTATTGCTCTTTCAGCTGTCTCCACCTATAAGGCTAGATGAGGACAATGCGCGCTGATGCCAGAGAGAAAAGATTAAGCAGGAACTGCAGAAAGAGAGGATTTTTCCATCCAGCAGCCCTGAATGGATGGCGTGCAAATAGCCCAGCCTGCTGCAGGAGCTCCATGGGAGACGGCGTGATCCCATACGAGGAGCAGGTTATTAAATCCCACCAAACCACAAGCACAACATGCTCAGCAGCTAACGTGGGCAGAGGGCCTTACACAACCCACCCGTAGGGCTCTGCCTGGATCGTGCTACGAGCTGCCAGCCCTGTACCTGCACACCTTATTTCTCTGCGCTATTCTGCCCTATGGTCTCCAGAAGTCAGATGCTCTCCAAGCCACTCCATTTGTACATAGCAATTTCCCGATTTCATTTTGTTGCAAAGATTGAAATCGCCAAGGACTTGGGAGTGGGAATGTTTCTCCTATTAGCCATGAAAAGCAGAAAATATTAATTGCCATTGCCAGGGAAGAAACTTCTCCTGCACGTAGTAGTCAAGAAATGTGATTTTCACTTTGAAATTTAATCAAACCATCGAGTTAACTGCATCAGTCAAGATTTAGCTATTTCATTTTTCAGCTTAAGCCACAGGGAGCTCTTGGGTCTAGGATTTATCTCTTTGCAGCTCCTTGCAGCGGGCCCCAGCTCGCTTCGCTTCCACCAGCGACTGCTGCAGGGCTGGCTTTGCACGAAGCAGCGGTGTGTTTAAACCAGTGGATTTTGCAGGGAAGAGGCGAAAACATGTCATGGTACGGCAGCCTACCTGGCTGCCAGAGCAGCGCTGAGCGGCGTTAATCCCCACCCCATCCCCTCCCACCCTCGGAGCAGCAGGGAGAGCGCGAGCCTCGCTTGGCAGCACACGCCAGCTCCGTCCTGGCCATCTCCTGCTCCTCCTTCCCATGGCAGGAACATCAAAGCTCCGGCCTGGCCCCGGCCCCTCATTCAGTTTTCCAGGCAATGCTCAGAAGTCTTGAACCAGCTCTGTGCTGCCGTCTAAAGAGAAAATTTAAAGCCACAACCACCAGTCTAGACTGCCTGAAATCTCTTCCCCAGATCCACACGCCAGCTCCGTCCTGGCCATCTCCTGCTCCTCCTTCCCATGGCAGGAACATCAAAGCTCCGGCCTGGCCCCGGCCCCTCATTCAGTTTTCCAGGCAATGCTCAGAAGTCTTGAACCAGCTCTGTGCTGCCGTCTAAAGAGAAAATTTAAAGCCACAACCACCAGTCTAGACTGCCTGAAATCTCTTCCCCAGATCCTGGGCTAGTTAAGCAACCTGCCAGTTTTAGGAAAGCTGGAGAGCGCCCAGCTCATCTGCCTTACTTGGGCGAGTAGTTGCAGACCAGGTAGACGGCGTTCTCCCAGATCTCTCCCCAGACGTTCATCTGCTTGCAGACGTTCACGGCACAGCCGATCTTGTTCGTCGTGGCCCAGACTATCTGCAAGTGCGACAGAGCTATTGAAAATGAGCAAACTCCCCCTCTGTGGGCACATGTTGCAGTGACAAGTGGGACATGGGGGGGATGCAGCGAGTATAGATACAAAAGCCCTTCGTCTCCTTTACCTGGGTGTAATGCGTGCACATAGAGCCAGTGCATCTCTCTGGGCACCACGGGTTGCACTCATGAGGATACGGGTACGTGTAATCTTTAACTTCATCATACCAAGACTGGACATGGAAAGCTGGAGACCGATACCTGAAGGAGCAAAGACCGGTCACAGCTGAAACCACCAAGCTCCGGTATAAGTTTTCAAACAATACTGGGAGCCTCCGGCCATATTGTAAGCTCACACTTTTTTAAATACAAGTTTTGCTAATTTTATATAAAAGTTTCTGAAGTTTCAATCATTGAGAAGGTGTTGCCTGAAGAACCCAGTAACATGGTCCAATGAACAGAAAAAAAACTCACTGAAAGTGTTAAAGATTATTTTTTTCCCTAAGATTCACAGCCCAGTCTGACTTTCTGTATTATTTATAGGTTGACATGCTCTTCCAGTGCTGCTGACCCGAAATGTCCTCCTGACTTTTCCACACAACTACAAAAAACTTCTAGTTTGGCGGAAAGTTGTGTTTTGAAAGTAAACAGAAGTTAAGGTTTGCCAAACATCTTCAACCGAAAGCCATCGTGTACCTATTTCACCACCGGGCAATTTGCTAAATCTGGAAGACACTAGCAGTTAATACTGTGAGACCTTTGAAAGCAAGTGGGCTTTTTCACACTCACATCACACCAAGAGTTGGTGCAGAACAGTTGAGGCACTGCATACGTGCCCCACCTTTTATTGCAGCAATTTCCCTCTGCACCGTGCCCCCGCACACGCTGGGTGTACTTTGTGCAAACCACGCACCAGATATTGCAGTCCGCGCCAGCACCGATGCTACTTGTGCTGCCTGGGGGAATGCAAACGGTGTTAAAACTACCTATAGCAACTCATATGCATTTTTCATGCTACGCACACAGTGAGCAAACAGAGCAATCTGCAAATTCTGAATCAAAGCAGAGCAGTGCTTCAAACCCACTACTTTTTATTGCTTTCAACAGCTCACATGAAGCAAGCGGCCAGAAATACAAATGATATCATTACCAACTGGAGTTTGTTCTTTCAGCCAACTCTTCATTAAAAATCATTCATTAGAAGTATTTTAAAAACATTAATCGCATGATGTCACTGAAGTGAATACTTTCCGAATCCTACTTTACAGGAGAGGAAATTGAGGCAATCAAGTTATGGCCCGTTCCTGAAAAAACTGAGATAAATCTGATTTCTTTTTCCTCTTAGTGACTGCAAAGGGAGGAAGATTGGATCTGCCTCCATCAGTAACCCATGGCCATCTTGAACGCTTGTAGGAGAGCCAAGAACAGCCCGATCTTTTGACTTTGTTTCCAATGGATTAACCACTCTACTTTCCAATCATTATTTAATTCTGCCAACAAAAACGGGCCCGATTTTTATATCAGGCCAATTTCGCACCGGCAAATTTCCATTGCTTTCAACCAAGTTCCACCTGATTTACAACAAGCATAACTGCATTTCCACCCATTAGGGCTCCTGAGCACGTACAACATGTTTGCTGTACAAGCAAGCTTAACCTACAACAGGCTTAATGATAGGGGCTTAACAATAAACAATTTCACCATGAGATGGAGAGGCAAACCCATTTGGAAACCTTAATGTCAGCCTTCCTAGCTGGGTTAACAACTAGGTTAAAAACCTTCCCCAGGAAGTTGGGGGGGGGGGGGGTGGTGGTGGAATAAAATCTGCAAAGTGGTTTCAGTACAGAGAAATGAGGAGCTGGATAAATATTTATGGGAAATACAGCAAGAGATAATTAAAAAGTTTAGAGCAATGAGTTCTGAACTTGTAGCTGAGTCCAGACATTGTTCCTGAGAAAATTCAGCTTTCAGACGGTACTCAGCCCAGAACCCCCCTGAAACAGCAGATTCAGGAGCAAGGGTTACAGCTTCTGTAGCTGTTCTCCTTAAGGAGTGGCACATAACAGCTGAAGTACCCTGAGATACAGATAAATGGAGTAACCCATATCAGTGTTGATTTGCTGGGAACAGTCAGCTGAAGGTGGCTGCAGACGTTATCACTATAACCATTCCACTGCAGCAACACCAATTATTGATCCTCACCTTTTCTCCCATCTCCGCAGTGCTCTACTAAGCATCAAGGCAAACCTTTCCATCTGGCTGTAAAGAAGAATCCGTAAATTGCTCTTTGCAACAAGCTTGTAGCACCCCAACTCTTACCTGCCCCAGTGAACTGCCAAGTTCTGTCCAATTGACCTGATGAGGTCACTAGGCCCATGGTCCCAGATGCACTGCTGAGCCCAAGCTTGGGCTGTTCTTTCCAGCTCATCATCCCAGGTCTGCAGGAGGTGGGGAGAGAAAAGAACAGGTCAATTTGCCATCTCAAGCTTATTAGATCAAGAGGCTCAACCAACAGCAATTAGAGGAGAGAGGGAGAATAAATTACAGCTCACCCCTGGTGTCTGGCCTGTCCTTCTGAAACCAGCACATTTTAATGATGTGCCCTGACCTAAAAGCAAGTTTCTCAAGATGTCCCCCTGCCATGGAAATGCAGGGCACTAGAGGGTCTATTATTTTTCCTGCTTGATGTCATGGTGCTTAGGAGATGCTTTGCATAGGTCAGGATAAAACAGACCCGGTAAGACCTCAAGAACCCATCTAGACTATCCACCCTAAACCACAAGAAATTCTTCACAGGTGTTTTTCTAATCTATTTGAAAAAAAAAAAAAACCCAAAACATCAAGGACAGAGATCCCAGCGCTTCCTTGTGACACCTATTTCTGAGATCTGCAAGACTTCTAACATGCAGTCAATGCTCTCAGTCAGTGCTCTGATGTAGCTGCAGCATGATTTTCCACCCATTGCACTTGCTACCAGGACATTTCCTGGCTTTCCCATCAAGGGGAACTCCAACAGTGGATGTGGTCCTGCAGTTCACTACCAACACAGGTGGAGATTTTTGGCCCAAACTCTTGAGCAAGGGGTGTGGGTCTGAGCCTCCCAGTCCCATCTTCCCTTCTCCTTCCAGCCTAACTGCTGAGTCCACTGCTGGATCCAGTCAAATTTAACAGAGGTGGCAAAGTCCCAGAGCAGTTAAGCTAATATTGCTCTCACCAAAACAGGCATCAGGTTAGAAGTGACAACCCCCATTTATCTTCCCTTTGAGGGAAGGACGTTGGTGTGAGATCAGTCCTTATTGAATATCACCCACCTGCAAGCCAAGTGAGAGCTCAAACATGATACCAAGGCAAATAGGAAAGCAGGTTTCATTGGCTCCATTGCCCAGGAGTGTATTTGCTGTAACGGCCAGACTTGCTGGACCCAGCAGACAGTGCCCTGAATTCATTGTGTAATTACTGACAGCTGGTCTACTCAGAACAGTCCTTAGAGGATAATTCATTGGGATTAAAATATTACCGCAAATTCCTACAAATAAAACCAAAGAGAAGTCTTGTAATGTGTCTCCAGCCCATTCACGTGCCAGCACAAGATTATGTCCTCTTTGGACATTTACCATCACAACCAGCTGGTCTTTCCAAGTCCCGTCTTCTCCAGAAGAAAAGCAACTTCTGATCTCAAACATATCAAAGGACCTGTCAGAGCCTGTTTGGAGGACTGGAGGGCATTTAGGCTCTCAAACACGTTTAGAAAACATCAAGTGCTCATTCCAAGTAAGTATCTGAACACGGTCTCGGGCAGTTATAACTGGGATGGGGAGGGACCGTATGTCCCTGGCTAAGACGACAGGAAAACGCAGTGTCTCCTGGAACTTGATGTGTCTACACTATCTTCGTAAGGCAAACATGAGCTCATCTAACTGAGCTAAACAGCCCAGACCTCCAAGAACAGCTTATCATTAAGCATGCTCAGCAACCCAAATTCCAACAACATCCCAGAGCTGCTCTGAGCTCATCAGCTTGGCTTCAAACTGACCAGCGGCCAAGCAAATTCACGTCAGTCTGCAAAACCTCGTGTGCGGACGCAGCTCTGACAGAGGGAATAAAACCATTTTCCGTCTCAGCCCTCCAACTCCTTGAAGGTGTATGGGATCTGACCCACCACACACACATTTCCAAACCTCTGTTCAAGCAGGCTATTGCAATTGTGCCTAGACACACAACTTTTTGTGGTCTCCCACTTTCTGCACCAGGCAATGACCAGCCACAATCTGCCTTTCCATCCAACATATAAGCCACAGAAACTCTCCCAAGACGTTATGTGCTGCTAGTACTTCAGACTTCCTAGCAGAGCATTTTTCCCTGCAGCCTCAAAGGCAGAGACATTCCAAATCTCCTAATTTAATGCAGAGACATTATAAGCAATAGGCCATTAAATAGAAATTGATGTGAACATATGCATTACATCTTCCTTTGATGCCTACGGATAAAATAAATGAACTCGGACAAAAGATACTCAACAGGCAATTGGGAATGAGCTATGTCTTTGCATGGCTTTGTGCTTGATGAGTAGAGAAGCTCATTTCTGCGGGCGTCAGATTACAAAGCCATCCCATTTAAATTAGAGTAGTTATTTGCCTCTTGCTTCTCAGACGTGAATGCGGTCAGGAGGCTGGAATTATTTCAGAGCAATAAACATATCAAAAAAATGAGATTTCAGACTTTCCCAGCTACACTTGCAAGAAGTCTTTATGCCAATATTCAAAGCAGTATCTAGGAAGACTACTGAAGCCAGAGGGGCCGTGTACGTCTATGCTCAGCTTCCTTCTCAGGCAGAGATTGAGAAGCCTTCGGTTACACACGATTCCACGTGATTTAGCACATGGACTCTTGTTTTTACTTCTGCAAATTTGTAATGGCCTTTCAAAGTACAGTATTCGCTGTACATGTTAAATACAGGCATGGCATACACACGTCATACTACAATTGGTAGGTTGAGATTTAATAAGAACATACCCCACAAGGAGTCCATTTACTCAGCCTAACTAGTTTGTGAACATAATCCTAATCCTAGGCACCTGAGTTGTAGTGATCAGGTTACTCTCATTTTTCTCCCCAGCTTAGACTTTTTGCAGTACTGGTAATGTACTTTTAAAAGTGGCATGAGAGTCCAGGACTGAGACGTACTGGCAGAAGCTTGGACACGCTTTGCTAACCCACACAGACATACTAGCCCATCCTGACAAGGAAAGTCAGCGCCCTGCAGTTTAGAGGAAGGATGGAGATACCTTATACATGAAAGCAAAATATTTTCCTTCCAGCAATCTGTACTGAGAACAATTTCACTTTATCCAGCTGTCTTTGAGGCCTCCGCAAGAGGAAAGACTTCTGCCATTCATGACTGCTGAAAGCCATCTGACTAAGCCATCTTAAAAGGTCAAGATGTCTTAGGAACTACTATGTCTTTTTACTCTGGGTTCATTAACAAGGAGTTTGTTTTGGTCTTGGCACCCATCCACTGCCGTGGCTGCTGTTATAAAGTCCGAACACACAGTGGAAGTGGCGATCAGAAAGCTGTTATAGGGGTTAAGGTAATCCCGTATTTGACCGACTTTGTCAGGAAGATGTGCACTGCTCACTCATTTTCCATTAACTCTGAATACCTGTGCTAGCTTTCAATTAATTATACAAACCCAGCAGCAAAACTGTTTATTTCCTCATTTCTTCACTCCACTTTACCTTTATCCCATATGCATATAATTCTTTTGATCTCTCCAGATAAGTCACGGGACTCACTGTGTTATTGCTTTCTTATTAACAGCCTCCACTGACTAAAGTTCATCCTGTAGTAGATAAGTATGTCCCTTTCCTGGAATACATTAGCTCCCCTTGCCACTTTAGATCACCAAAATATGTCAGGTATGGAGGTGGGAGAAAGAACTTCCACAAGGCAGTGTTCAGAGGTTGATGGGCAAGAACAAGTTCTACCTACTTATCCACAAATTAGCACCACACGTCGCCTGTGACGCTCCACACTGGCACCAAAGGAAAAGAGAAAAGTTTATCTACGGTACTAAAGACAGACCATCCTCTTAAACGAGTCCAAATGAGAAATGTCCTATGCAGAACAAAGGATTAAAGTGAAATTCACGTTCAGAATATACACAGCATTTCCAAGTAATATTAGGTAAACACGAATACATGAAAGACTTGATTATAGCCTTTCCAAGTAGCACCATCTTATACTCAGCTTCTTTCTTCACAGCATATAAGGCCCTTTCATTTACCCTCAATCGCCCATAAAAACCACTAGAAAAGCACACTGAGCAAAGGCAAACATGAAAGTGTAACCACGCTGCAAGCGTAAACAGCAGTCGGCCAGTGGACAGTCCGCAACGGCAGCCCTCTCAGATCCTCAAAGCCAACCAAAACACATTTGGCTTTCTCATGCTTTGTGTTTACTTTCTGGAAATCAATCAAGTCGCCTCTTCCCTGGCAGTATCTCGCCGGCAGCCTGCAGGATAACGCGAGAGCCCGCCGAGAGAGATACAAAGCGCCGGTTCTTAGAAAGGCATGCGATTTCTGACAAAAGCGGGATGAAAGGCCAGCAGTGTGAATGCTAATGAGGACCAACTGATGGCCAGTTGTCCTTCCTTACTGTCCTCTGCTCTCCCTTCTCTTTTCCTGTTCCCTACAGTCACAAAAGGCAGGATTTTCCATTTGCAGCACTCCTTTCAGCACAGCTGGCAAACAATTTTGTATTACATTTAGTGTACTATTTATTTTACCCTTTTAAACACCGTCTTAACAAATCATTAATCATTTAATCTGTCAGCAGGAGCGCACAGTTGAAGTCAGGCTAGTTTTGGTCATAACTATATTTGCACATTGGGAAAGGGCACCAAAAAAAAAAAAAAAAATTATTTGCCTACATCATTTTCTGGCCCCGCAATATTTTGATGGCACGTCAAAAATAACTCAAAGTAGGGTCTCTGGCATCAGGTGAAAAAAACTTATTCATCTGAATTGTTGATGGTAAAGGCATTTCATACTTATACTTTTAAGTTCTCCCTCTGAAGTGGGAGAATACAGTGACCAAACTTTTATGTTGGTTTCTTGAACTATGAAAAACCATGACCTGACCCATCCATCCATGAACTCCCAAAGTCCTTCCAGCTATTTCCAGTGACTGAAATTCTTTGCAGATGGAGCCGCATTCCTCAAGCCCTGTTTCTCTAAGGTGCTGAGCAGATTCCCAGCAGCATCATGGATGCTTGGCTCACATTGATAATCTCTGGTGATCAGTGTACGACAAGAGGGCAGATGCTACCTCCAGCGTTGGGCGGTAGCTGATGGCAACCCAAAGACCATCAGAGGTTTCCCTGAGCAGGCTGTGGTGGCCCGAAACACCAGTCACAACGGTCTGAAAGCTTTCACAGGGAGAACGTGAGTTAAACACTAGGGAAAATGTGATGCTTTTATGACATTAAGGTAATGGAAGAACCTGCTGAGGCAGGCTGTGGAATTGCCATCACTGGAGATGTGTCCAGGGCTGGGCCAGACACTAGTTTATGAATAATGGAACCAGTCCTGAAACTATGCACTGGATGGACTCGATGACCCATTAGTGGCCCTTTCCAACCAAAACAGTTGAATGATCTAAAGCATTTTTCACTCTGGAATGAAACAGCTCCAGGAAACCTCTTGAGAAAAACTTACGTTAGAGGAAATTTGCTACACCTCTTGCACCGTAAGGAAAATTAAAATAAAGGTTAAAAAAAAAAAGAAAAAGAGTTAGGTATCAGGAGCTAGACTCACCATGTATTCCATATTAGAGGCCACTGGGTACACTTGACCTCTCAATTTATTGTGGAGCATCAATATCTCCTGTCTGTCTGAGAATAAAATGGCTCTCTTGGGTCTGGAGTGAGTTTCCCCATCCTGATATTTACTCAAAATGCTCTCCAGGTGACTTGAGTTGGGCAAGATAAAGCATTCGGCTGCCTTTGTCAGGAGCAGTACACATCCAAGAGGAAGGATCCAAGGCAGGACAGGATTCATGCCTCCTCCTCTACAGCCAGCAGAAGCAGAGATGAAGACGACGGTAGGTTTTCTTGCAGAGACTCCCGGGGCTCAGCGCGGGTCTGGATTTGGGGGAGAAACAGGCAGTCAGAGCAGTGCCAGAGAAGCTCTCAGTGCTCATGACCCCCACAACCCAGGTGTTTCCTTGAAAAAAAGTGATGCCTACAGTCTAAGCAGTTATCGTTCACCCCAACAACAGGAAGGCCTGAACAACACCGTAAGTTGTACTGGGAGCGAGCACTAGCCAGGCAGCACTCCGGCACGGTGACGGATGCCTTCTCTGCCAAAGAAAGATGCCAGGGGTGCGGGTGTCACCCAGCAATGCCCAGCAGCTCTGAATAATCCCAGCTCTATCCCTTCACAGGTGGGAAGGGGAGACATTTGAAGCTCTTCGCCCAAAGACCAGCTGTTAAAGTAGAGAACAGATAAAAACAGATAAACAGATGAAAGGGAAAGTAAAATTCCCAGCAAGCCAGATCGCAGAGGTCAGACATCAGCAAGAGCTATTTCGGAGGCCCTTGGTCTGCCAACAGACTCCAGCAGAGCAGCTGCCAGACTGTGAAAGCGGCTGTTTATGTGAAATGTCACCGTCACGCCGAACAACCAAAATCCCTGCTGGCGAATGACGCACCGGGGTGTTCTCGCTGACGCATCGCTTTACGGCGGGCGGGAGTGCGGCCAGCGATATGAATTATGGCAGATTAGGAGAGGAGCTGGAGCACCCGTCCTCCCCGGCCAGAAGATTAGGTGTTCCCATGCGTGCTTGGTAGTCGTCAGCACCAAGGGCTTGGAGAGACGGTCTCAATTTGGTCATTACTGCATTTGAATGCCTTCATTTAATCCTCATCCCCTCCCTTCCTCCATGGTGCTCCCGCTCCACCTGCCATTTCCAAGCTCTTCCTCCCTTCCTCTCCCCCATGCCCCAACTTCTCTAACGAGCCTTGTGCATCTCGGCTGGTTTTATTTACATCATGAGCTATTCAGGGAAGGAAATATGTGCTGCTGCATGGCTCTGCAAGCACCTAGAACTCTTTAGGTGGGATCTAAGAGCCTCCAAATCGGAATCAATCCATCATGGGCAATAAGCATCCATACAGATGGTGCGAGCACAGCATCCTCTCTCCTTGAGGCGATATTTTGGAAGAAAGCTTCCCCATCCCTGTCTTCAACACTAGGTGAGGACCTAGTTTTGACAGCACGATTAAAAGACAGGCTGAAAGTATTCCTATGCAGCATCAGGAAATAAACCCCAGATTAGAAGGAATTATTCGAGAAGTTTCAACCCAGTGACGGGGATTTGGACACAGTGAGACCGGACAAGTTGGAAACCATCCAAGGCAGGGAAGCGCCTTCCAGCTCCCAGCTGGAAAAGCTACACTGGAGCACAAAGTCCCAAAACCCTGTTCCCCAGACCCAGCACAACAGCAGAGGACAGTGGCAAGCACAAGGTGCTTTGCACAGGTGGGGACCCCCAAAAACACTCTGAGGCCATTGAGAAACCCTGAAAACTTGTTGGCTGTCTACACAAAAGAAACAAAGTCCCTCTTTGAGGCTCCTTACTCGTACTGTATTAAGGCAGATGAAAACCAGCTGCCCTCAGTCTCTCTCCAGGCAGAGCGTTAAGCCTGTGCCTTGGTAGAACAATGCAGGAATGTAATTTGCTCAGTTTAGGTAACGGCTTCTCATTATTTCCTGCTCTGCAGAGCAAGTCGAACACACACGCCTTGTCCCCAGCTCCAGGCACACCTGAAAGACAGGACGCTCGGTGGCGTCAGGACAAATATTGCTTTAACCTCATCCTCTTCTCAGCCCTGTTTGTTGGCATTTGCTCCCCTCCAAGCAGCAGCCCAACTTTCTAACCCAGCTGCAGAGGGGTAGGGGAGGCAAAAGGAGCTGTTGCTTTTGTAGACTGTCTGACCCAAATTCAGGGAACAATTCCTACTTTGAGGCACTTCCCTGCCAGTTTAAAAATAGATGCTCTGCCACAGCCGTTTACAATGTGGCCATTTAGCACAAGCAATTTTAACTGCAGCTTGCCCTGTAGGTAGAGCAGGCAGGAACAGACAGCTAATATGCGCTGCAGTTGTACCCCCTCATTTGGCCGGGTGCCCTTTGCTAAATAGGAGCCCGTATCCACCACCCATTTAAGGCAAACACTGAACTTACAGAAAGGGCAGCTTGAAAAAAAAAATCAGCTGTTACATCTGAAAGCCCAGAGGAGCTGCCCCACTCGCAGCTACGCAACGAAGCCAACGTGTCTGGTTTCGTGCCCCAGCCAAAACCTTGCAACAGATGGTGCATTATTCCTTGGGATGTTCCTCCCTGTATCCCATTTGCGAGCGAGGGGATACTAGCACCTCTCTAAAATTAGGTCACTTTGGCACTATCTGGCTTTTTCACTTGGGGTGTGCAGGTCCCTTCCTCTGCTTTTGCTCAAGGTGGGGAGCGCTGAGCATCCAAAGGAAGGATGAAGTGATCAGAGAGGGACAGGGAGCAAACAGCTCCCTGGCCAGATTAATCAAAAGCAGCAGACAGATACTCGCATTTCAGAAAGCTCTCATTGATTTCAGATGTCTGTCCATTTGCCTCTTTTAATATCCTCATGCCCAGGTGCAACGAAACACGCGGGCATGTGTTAAAGCTGAGGCAGCCCAAGTGCCCTGCAGAGCTGGGGCGATGCCTCCGGGCTGCGTCAGGAGCTCCTCGTCGGGGAAGACTGAAATCACATTGCCTCTGAGCCGGGATCTGACATTATTCAGAAAAAATTACCACCTGACAGTCAGCTGAGGAAGCCTCTGCTGTTGTTTTCAAGGGCTCAAGAGGAGCGTTAGCACAGCCTCCTTCGAGACGCGTCAGGCCCTTCATGCCGGTGCCAGGTAAACATCTGGGAGCCATCAGAAATGGGTGAGTCAGCAGAAACCGACTCCTCAATACGCCGTAAAGCCTGTCCAAACTGGGGACAAAAGGAAGGCCGCCTTCTGGGGTCTGAGGAAGGTAAAAAGCAGCACCGGACTTTGGAAAAGATTATTTTTAGAAAGCTATTTCCCCAGCTAATGGGCAGTGTCTGCATTTCACAGAAAGCAGAAGAGTTGGTAGCATTTGACGCCTGGCACGCAGCGCTGCCTGCTCTAAAGCCACACGCAGGCTGACTTCTGTAAGTCATTATGTCCTCACTTCACCTTAGTCCTTACGGCTATTGATCTTTTACTGCCTGGTAAAGTATATGAGCGGGTGTCTACTCCTTGGTTATGGATGACATTTGCAGCTAAAACATCCCGGGACCTGTGGAGTTATACACGGAACAAGCTGACAAGGCAGGAAAATGAGAGAGTTAGCAGGCGATACCAGCAAAGCATCTAAAACAGCAAAGCAGAAGGGAGTTAACCTGGGATCAGCTTTTAACCTGACTTAGTCCGGGATCAGCTTTCAACCTGTGCAAAGAAATCCAGCGATAAAGCCACAACATACTTCATGCATTAATTCCCAGGTCACCCATTTAACCGAGATGCACACATTTCAAGCTTTGAAGAACTGTGTTGGCTTCAAAAGAAAAGTGGGATGGCAAGTCCCTTGACACAGGACAGAACGTTGTCTGCGCAGAACACACTCTGCATTCAGCATCTTCAAGGCCCCGGGCCAGAACATCTGGATCTTCCATTACAATCCAGTCCCACAGAGCTGAAGGGGGTGAGCTGCTACGCAAAACCACACGGAAAACCCGCTGGTAACTGCCACAACATGTGGCGACACTGTGAAATTCCTTTTAGGCAGGGCTTTAGAGCAGACTTGCATAAACACAGGCTTCCTGGAGCAGACTAGATGTGCCGTGGGCAGTCAGCTATTAGAGACGGGCACAGCGTCCCTTAGACATTTTCTGTTTGCGTAGAAATCCACTCCTGTGCTTGCAAACTCCTCCCATTCATTCCAGATTAATGTTTGTTAACCTTTCATTAACCTCTCCAAAGCATACATAAGGGAAGCTCAGGCAGTATTGTGCTATTTTATACCACGCAGGCAACTTTTTGGAGAAGTTACTAAAATGGTGCCTACTTAAATAAGAGCCATTTCTTGCACACACACCCACCCCCCCAAACCACATTTCAGAAGCAGGGACCAAAGCTTGCACTTACCTCGCCGAGTACTTCCAAGTCCCCAGGAAACTGTAGCTCCTCCAAGCCTGCTTGTGGAAAATAAATTATATATCTGAACTATTTAAACTAGGAGGAGGGGAAAAAGGATGAAATGAGCCTTAGGAGGTGTGAGGAATGCAAGGTATCAGCTCAGCAGCTCGTAGCAACTGCAGTCTCACAGAGCTCCCCAGTGGTATTTATGCTCTCCAGGCAAAGAGGACAACCCTGGATCATCCTGTTTGGCAACGGGCCTGCAGTAATAACGAAAAGAAGAGAAAAAAAAAAAAGGGGGGGTGGTGGGGGGGACACCCACGAAAAGGAGGCAGGAGCAAGGAGGAGAGGATCTCTTGGGATCTCAGCAGTTTGAAGATAGTCATTGGGGCTCAGCAAATTAGGACCATCCTCCCAAAGGCTGTAACACAACCCCCGGGGAGGGGGAGAGGAGGAGGAGGAGGGCAGCCCGATGAGCGTATAAAAGGATTTGCTTTGCTTTCCCCCGCAGTCAGCTTTCAGGCAGAGCTCGCAGCCCGGCGGGTTCCCGGGAGCATCCTCCCCGCTGCCAAGGGGGGACCACGACGCCTCGGTGAGGGGCTCCGGTGATGAGGGAAGGGGAATTCAGGAAAGGGTTGGGTTTTTTTTTATGGCGAGGGACTCAAGCCAGCTGTCTCATTTCCCGCTCCCCATGGAAAAAATCCCACAGCGGGTCCTGGTTCCCCGGGGCTGAGACAGCTCCGGAGCCGCGGGGTGCCCAGGGCTGGCAGCGGGGCCGAGCTGGGGTCCAGCCCCGGGCACACCCCGTGGCAGCCCCCTTCTTCCCCAGAGCTGGGCGTTTGGCTGGGAAACAGGGGA